GTTGTTCGCCACTGTGACGTAAGTGACTGTAGGAGTGGGGACGGCGTTGGATATGTAACGCTCGGAGCCCACCATATGCTGGCCGCAGCAGCTGTCCAGGTACCAGGTGTTGTAGCGCTTGTTGTTGTCACGTGCGAGCAGCGCCAGTCGCGGCGTGACGATGTGCGGGGTATCGAACTTCAGAAATTGCTCGCGCGAGAGCCAATCAGGTGGCGCCACCCGCATGTCTGGTACGTGCGGGGGACTCTCAAGCAGCGGGACTGGGAGATTCCAGTCCTGGTCGTCGTCGTCGGTGAAGTCATGGCGCGGACTGAATGGGTTGTTGTTGGAGAACGCGCCAATGGGGTGCGGTGCTGGCTCAGGTGATGGTGAGCGCACGCGGCGACGACGGGACTCGCCTGTCATGGCCATGTTGCTCATGACATTGCGTACTGTCGCAGTCGGTTGCGGCTGCTGCTGCTGATGCTGAACCGCAGGGTTCAGGTTGCGCGTGGGAGGGGGCTGATAGCCCTGGGCTGGACGCACGTCGCCTCGTACGTCTTGTCGGCCGGACCAGTTGCTCGGATTGGTCTGGCGAGGGCGAGATCGGGACTTGCATCGATCTGCCAGATGCCCGAAGTTCCTGCAGATTTTGTAGTAGAGGCGCCTCGGACGTCGCTCTTCGTTGTTGTCGGCGTAGAAGGCGATCCGTTCTCTTTCTCGTCGTGGCGCTGGTCGCTGCTGGTCCATATCCCGTTGTTCGACGAGAAGGGCGGCGCAAAGGGCGGCCTCCGAGATGACCCCCTGCTGTCGGAGAAGCGCCTTGCAGGGCTGCTACTCTGGGCCGAGCCCTTGAAGCACGATGTTAACGAAGATTTCTTCAGATATCGTGCTTTCCAACTTCACGATCTGATCGCGAAGGCTCCGACAGCGATTAAGGTAAGTGTTGACTTTCTCCCCTGAGATCATCTTAGTTTCCAGGAGTTCCTGGAGCAGTCGGCTCGACGAGACAGAGTCCTTGGGTTGATACACTCCTGTCAGGTGTCGCCAGGCGTTGAGGGCTGGAGCAGCTGTCGTTTTGTACGAACGGATGTTCAGCTGCTCCGCCGGGGACATATTCCGCAGGAGCACCCCGTACGCCATCAGTGATTCGTTGTAATACCTCGCCTTGGCGTCGTCGGTGTCCTCGGCAGGCTCGGCGTAGCTCCCGTCGAAGTAGTGGAAGATTTGGGCGTTCTGCAGCAGGAGCTCCAATTCGAAGCTCCAGGTATAGAAGTCTCTGCCGTCAAAGCTGGAACTTGTCTTTATTTTTTATATGCTCAGAAACTTTGATTGAGCTGAGAGAATTGCCTCTTCACTGGGACGGGGAGCCTTGGGGGTTGAGCCATTTGTGTCGAGGGAGAAGGTTTGCGGGACGGTGTTTTGCCCAGTTGGGCCCGGTTGAGTTGGTTGCGAGGATGTTCCCGCATCGCCGTTCCGCAATGTTTGGAGCCCTTGCTCCAGACTGGTGAGTCGCTGGAGAAGTTGTGCGAGGACTTCGGTGCCGATCGTAGTCGTTTCCTCGCTTGTCGCAGCCGGATTGGTGCGTGCTTCAGCCGTCATATTAGTCTGACCACCAGATCCTCCGGCCATTCTCACACGGGAGCGTGTGCCGGTCGCCACTTTCCGAGTGTCGCAATTTTCGGGAGTGGTGTTGCGAAGGATTCCCGAGCCGCTCTCATACCATGCTACGATCAGAGAATGATTGCTAACCAGGATCTACTCGGGAAGGTTCGCACACAGGGAAAAGTTGGTTGGTGGGCCCGTGATCTCAAATAGCAGAGTGAATGTAAATGCTTGAGATGATTAAAACATGCAAATACAGCGAGTATAAGTATGAGTACAGGGAAGACGAAACGACCTAGCTAGTCATGTACTCTAAGGGGTACATTCCCATATTCAAATACATTTAACCGTGCGGCGCGTACAGTTTCGTAACTGTTCCCGCCAAGAACATCCTGCCTGCAGCTGTCCGATGCCGTCTGCCTCCGACGGTCCAGATACGTCCCAACTGTCTGACACTTCGAGTCAAACTCCAACTGTCTGACGGTTCGCTTTCTTGCTTCGATACTGCGTGCTTCTCTTTGCTGCGGTGAGGAGTGCTCAGTAACAATTACATGTTACTATTCGTAACACCCCCCTTCACTCCTGGCCGTAGCTCGATTTGACCTGTTTGACCACGCCGCTGAGTTCGGAGCAGTGCTGATACTGCTGGCGTGGCAGTCGCTTCGTCAGGAAGTCTGCTGCCATGTCACCGGTCGGGCAATAGGTCAAGTTGACCTTGCCCTTGTCCACTTCGTCCTTCACGAAGAAATATCGCAGCGCAATGTGCTTGGTGCGATTGACGAAACCGGGTTTGTTCGCGATGCGAATCGCGCTCTGGTTGTCGCAGTGAAGTCGAAAGGTTGGCGAAGTTGGAATTTTCGCCTCCTGTAGGAGTTCCTAGAGGTAGAGGCCTTCGCGAACTGCTGCGGTTGCTGCGATGAATTCTGCTTCGGCTGATGACAGGGCAACCAGCTCCTGTTTCTGTGAGTTCCAGGAGATTGGCCCCATTGGTTCGAGTCGGAACAGGAAGCCGGTCCTGGACCGTCGATTGTCGGGATCTGCTGCATGATCGGCATCCACATAGCCGACGAGATTGAAGGATGGGGTTGGTGCAGTTGAGTAGCACAGCCCGATCTTGGGCGTTGAAACGAAAAATTGCAAAGCGCGCTGCAGGTCCAGGTGATTTTCAGCCGTTGGTTTCCGTGAGTGCTGGGCGAGCTGACTTGCGATGTAGGAGAGGTCTGGCCTGCAGGTGACAGAGGCGAAGAGAAGGCATCCCAGCTGCTGCTGGTAAGTCTGACAGCTACAGTGTCGCAACTGACAAGGTAACCTAATTTCGAGAGAGCTTGCGAAACTACAGTAACTGGTGCCTAACGATCTTGTTACCTCTGCTGATGACGATCGATGTGCCCTCGTGGCCACACCGATCTCATCTTTAGTAGGATCGATGGTTTTTTGCCCCTAGTATTCTCGATCCTGTCACCCTGGGCTCGAGATTGATCCGCTGTTGTCACCTCCTACCAATCCCGCCCCAATCCTGCGATCGGTGTGCTCGATCGGTTTTTCACAACGATAGCGCGATCGATCGAGGGAGGGGACGTGCCCTTGATGCTTTACGCATCGCTGTAAAACGGTCATAATTCACCCGTGTTCAAACACAATCAACAACGTTTAATGAACGTGCAAGTGTGATCGGCCCCCAACCTCGCTTCCGCATAATGCTTTCCGCACGAACCCCACCGCCCTCCCTTCCCCCACACTTCCGTATCCATTTGCCATACGCACGGCTCTCCCTCCTGCCATTACTTCTTCTGACCCACAACGTGCTCCACCCTCTCATCTCCCTCTCCAGGGATTCCGGAACCCTCGTTATTGTCATGCTTCTCCTTCTGTTGACCTGGATCAGCCATCGATTGGCTGGGGTGACCTTGGAATTGCCGGAATCTTCTTTCATGCCATTGTTTCAGGAAGCTAGTAAGATAGGTAGAGCGGTTCAGTGAGATGGATTAGTGTTTCATCGTATCTGTATGTGTACAGACAACGGTTGAGCAGGGTTGTCGCTGCTGATTTTAGTTAATTGATTTCCAAAACTGCTTAGTAGCCTGAGGCTGTTATCTATGTGGAGTAAGCTGTTGCTAACTGGCCGAATTGCTGGTCAGGAACAAGCGTGCTTTCCATGGCGTAAGGTAACCGCTAGCAGTCAGCGTGTTTTGGTGGAGGTTTCTCATCTTGATCGTCGCTGCATGGTGTTGTGAAATCCAGTTCAACATTCCACCTGGAGCAACCTCGTTAGTTAGTACTTAGTCGCCTCGATGACGTGATTTGTTACTGAAAGATAGCGTGCTATGTGAAGACATGGCGACTTATTAGCGTTAGCACCTGGCGGTGCGTGGCACCGCAGTTCACTCCACGTCACCCCTACGACCACTCTATCCGATATAGATATGTTGCTGACCCGATTCTGCTGCTTCAAGATCGCAATGTGGACATTTTCTGGAACCTTTCAGACCCTTTTGGATCCAAGACGATAGCTCGTTTCAGGTGAGAATCTCGGGGTTTCGTAGCTCGATTTCAGCTCGTAATGGCTTCGATGATTAAATTTAGTCCAGGTTTTATTTGCAGGTGAATCCGTTTTAAGTCTTGAACATTTGCGGGAATGCTACGTCGCAGACCTGCATGATGGGAGTGTGGGCTTGCATGACCGATGGAATATGAAAATATGAAGATGAGGGTTTAGTCTTAGGCCGTTTTTACTGTCTCGGATATTTACATTGTGCTCATCCTCGTGACGTTGAGATTTGTTTTCTCTCAGGGCTTTGTAAGATTTAACCGACTCCATATCTTGTCGCAATCTTAGAAGTCGGCGGATTTTCGAGCCTAGCCCGGACTTTCTTCTCAACGCAGTTCCCCGCGAGTTGCACGAGTTTCGCGAGTTGCATCTCCTGCATAGCACCTGTTTCGCAAGTCACATTCCCTGTATTGCACGAGTTTCGCGAGTTACATTTCCTGCATAGCACCTGTTTCGCGAGTCACATCCCCTGCATTGCACGAGTTTCGCGAGTTGCATCTCCTGCATTGCACAAGTTTCGCGAGTCACATCTCCTGCATTGCACGTGTTTCGCGAGTAAATAACCGCCGACACACAACCACAGTCTCCAAGCTTCCCCTCCCTCGTATTCCCTCCCGCACTTCCTTTCGTTCCCACACCTCCCTCCCCCCGCCTTCCCTTCCTCCTCCTCCCTCTCCGCCTCTTCTCCCCTTTCGTTTCTTCGCCTCGCGTCTCGGCTCTTTCCTGTTCCAGACCTCCGAGAACTCCTGCTGTTTCCCGCGCTTCCAGCGAACTTCTGCTGTGAAACTCCGTCGCAAATCGTCTCTCAACGCACCCGACGAACCCCATCAGCGGTCGTTGGGAAGTGTTAGTGGGATCTCTCCCGCGGATGGCCCCTCCCCCCCCGTCTCGGTTCAGCGGAAAGTCCGCGGAGAGGCCTAGCGAAGGCGGTCTCACCGAGCGACGGAGTTACGAATACGACGGTAGCGGTAACGGCGGTCGCATGGCAGCCTTTAAAGCCATTGACGAGCGGTCCGAAGGGAACGTCCGGGAAGGAAGCGCCAAAGACCGGTTTAGGACCGCGAGGAGCATTAAACGGAGCAACTCGCCGGCTAGGCGGCAGGTGGATGGGATAATGCACGAGTACCAGATGCAGAACGCTGCTGCGCGCCGAGCCGAGGCTTCTAATAACAGCAGGAAGGGGATTGGCGGCACCGTGCTGTTTCTGGTGAGTAGAAACCTCGTTTTTGAGTCTGCTCGAAATGCACTGGGATAGAAAGAGGCAGGTGTGATGGGATAATGCATGAGTACCAGATGCAGAACGCTGCTGCGCGCCGAGCCGAGGCCTCAAGCAACAGCAAGCAGGGAATCGGCAGCACCGTGCTGTTTCTGGTGAGTAGAAAAACTTCGTCCTAAGTCCGCTCGAAATGCACAAGGATGGGATCATGCATGAGCGCCAGGTGCAGAATCCAGCTGCGCGCGTTGTTCAACGCGCTGCTATGTTATCGGAATGAGGAACTCAACTCATTCTTAAGCAAAGACGTGCGAGAACAGCTGCGTTCTTTTGAGTTACAAGATCACGGCCACGTGTGTTACTCCTCCAGCTCACATATCGAATTGACTCAGATGCCCTTTTTCGTCCCTCCCTTCTCTCTCCCCCCCCTCCTCATCCCTTTTCCCATCATGCCCCCCTTCACCTTCCCCTTCTCCCCTCCCTCTCCCCCCCCTCGCTCCCCTCCTTTCCCTCCCCCGCTCCCTCCCTCCCCATCCCCTCGCTCCGCTCCCTCCCTCCCCATCCCCTCGCTCCGCTCCCTCCCTCCCCATCCCCTCCCTCCCCTCCCCCAATCGCCTCCTTCCACCCCACGCGCTCCTCCTCTCCCCCCTTTCTCGACAGATGCTGCTCGTCTGCGCAGCAGCAGTAGGCTGGGGTGGTTACCAGTACAAGCAAGCTCTATCTCTCGAGGTAAGGGGGTGGCGACATCTGAAGCAGCATTGTTCCGCATGCTTTAACCTCTCTGGAGCAACTCTTGAAACAACATTCATGTGCTTTCTGGGGCGCCTCAAAAACTGTCTACCCCTTTTCCCGCTACTCCTTCCATCGTTTCGTATCTGTATTTCTAGATTCTCCCACGCTTAAAGCTGCACTGCAAACACTCACACGTTCTTGGCCCCCACACCCGCCCGCCCCGCCCTTGCCCATCCGCCAACTCCCACCCCCCACTCCATCCTCAAGCTCCGACTCTTGGAACTGCAACACTTACACGTTCTTGCCCCCTCCACCCGCCTCACCCCCTTGCAAACTCCCAACCCAATGCCCTTCCTCATGCTCCGAATCTTGGAACTGAAGTGCAACACCTACACGTTCTTGCCTTACCGCCCTCACGTTCTTACTCCTCGGCCCTCCCTTTTCTTCCACCTCCCCAACCCCAGCTTCGGCTCTCAGAACTGCAGCGCAAGCACTCACACGTTCTTCCCACGACCCCCCTCCCTCATCCCCCCGTTTCCCTCATTTTCCCCTTCGGCCCCACAGCTTCGGCTCTCAGAACTGCAGCGCAAGCACACGCGCCTTGCTGCCAAGCTGTCTGACGACGTTCCTGCTGGCGTCAGCGGGATCGACCTCAGCAGCAGCAGCAGATGCGAAGAAGGAACAGATGGGGAGGCAGAAGGTACCTGCTCCCCCTTCCTCATAGACAGCTCGGAAGAAGACAGACTTGGGTGGAGAGATGAAAGCAAGAGAGGGGAGGAGAGCAAGCGAGAGCCTAGGAGCGGCAAGGAGAAGTCAAAGGAGAAATCCAAGGAGGAGGAAGAGGAGGAGGAGGAGGAGGAGGTGAAGGAGGATGAGGAGCTGTTCTGGCGCAGGGTCGCCCTGGTAACGTCCATCCTCTGCCTCGTCCTCCCCATCTTCATCATCCGTAATATCGATGACGTGACCCAGCTCTTCGGGAGAAGGCGCCTCAAGGCAACAGACGGCCATATGACCGCCGCTGCGGCCTCTTCCTCCTCTTCCACCTCTGCTGCTGCCGCCGCCCACGCCGCCACCGCTGCTGCTTCTGCTGCTGCTGCTGCTGCGTCGCCTTCAGCAACCTCTGGGGCGGACGAGGAGGTGTCGATGAGCAAGCGGCTGGCGTATAAGGTCGATGTGCTCTTCTCCATGCACTCCTGGGTCAAGGGCGCTGCCCTCCTCGCTGCTACTCTCCTCCTGTAAGTACCTCATGTCCCCCCCAGCCTTCCCTCCTCTGAGTGCTCCTGACTGATCCACCAAGCCTCCCCTCCGCAGCCCTTGCGGCTGGGGCGGACGAGGACGTGTCGATGAGCAAGTGGCTGGCGTATAAGGTCGATGTGCTCTTCTCCATGCACTCCTGGGTCAAGGGCGCTGCACTCCTCACCACCGCCACTCTCCTCCTGTAAGTACACCTTAATCCCCCAGCCACCGCTCCTCTGCCACCCCGCCTCCTCTCTGCCCTTGGGGCTGGAGCACATGAGGAGGTGTTGATGAGCAAGCGGCTGGCGTATAAGGTCGGCATGCTCTTCTCCATGCACTCGTTTGTGCTGGGTCAAGGCGCTGCGCTCCTCGCCACCACTCTGCTCCTGTGAGTGCTTATTCCGCAGGAGCTCAAGGACTCAACCTCTTCTTGTGAGTTGGCTTGCTCTTCTCCATGCACTCGTTTGTGCTGGGTCAAGGCGCTGCGCTCGTGGCCGCCACACTGATCCTGTGAGTACTTGCTCGGAGCAAGTTGCTCCATCACCTGCTTCCCTTTCTCCCAATAACCCCATGGAGGGCTGGGAGGGCTGGGAGGGTTGGTTGCGGGGACATGGCATGGCAGAGTTCAACAGATAGATGTGGGTGAAAGTTGTTGAGGCGCCTCAAAATTCACCTCAATGCAGACATCAACAAATGGATCTGGCCGAATTAGAGCTCATTATTAATTCGTCTTTCGCCCTCCCCTTCGCCCCCCTCCCCCCTTCCGACTCCATTCCCGCACCAGCATCGCCCTCGGAGGCCTTGCCCTGTACGCCGTCGGATCGAAAGACCGGATGGATCTGGGCGACGCCACGTGGCGGGCGTGGTCCTACGTGGCAGACGCAGGGAACCACGCAGACAGCGAGGGGTGGGGCCCGAGAATCGTGGGCGTGAGCATCAGCATTGGCGGGATGCTGATATTCGCGCTGATGGTGGGGTTGGTGTCGGAGGGCATCTCGGAGAAGGTGGACTCGCTGAAGAAAGGCAAGAGCGACGTGATTGAGAAGAACCACACGCTCATCCTCGGCTGGAGCGACAAGCTGGTGGGTTCATGGGCATGGAGATGGGTGGGGATGGGGTGGGTAGGGCTGCGGTGGGGTGATTGAGAAGAACCACACGCTCATCCTCGGCTGGAGCGACAAGCTGGTGGGTTCATGGGCATGGAGATGGGTGGGGATGGGGTGGGTAGGGGTGCGGTGGGGTGATTGAGAAGAACCACACGCTCATCCTCGGCTGGAGCGACAAGCTGGTGTGTGATAGGTGGGAGTGGGGGGAGCGTATAGGCATGGGCGTGGCGAGTGAAAGCATGGGAGAAAACGCGGTGGTGGTGAAGGTTCCGCCTCTGGCCCCCTGTTCTTGTAATCATCGTGTCTTCTCCCTCCCTTTGCTCCTGTTGCCCAACACCCATCAGGCGTTGCTGCTGAAGCAGCTGGCAGTGGCGAGTGAGAGCATGGGAGGGGGCGTGGTGGTGGTGATAATGCTGTTGTTCTCTCCTTACACTGTGCACCCCTCATTACCGTCTCCTGCCCCTCTCTCCCTCACTTCCCCTCTCTTCCCCACTCCTCTCTTGGCCCATCAGGCATTGCAGCTGAAGCAGCTGGCAGTGGCGAATGAGAGCATGGGAGGGAACATGGTGGTGGTGATATTGCTGTCCTTATCTCCTTACACCGAGCACATCTCTTTATTGTTTCCCTCCCCTCTCTTCCCCTCTATTCCCCACTTCCTCTCCTGCCCTATCAGGCGTCGCTGCTGAAGCAGCTGGCGGTGGCGAACGAGAGCATGGGAGGGGGCGTGGTGGTGGTGATGAGCGAGAGGGAGAAGGAGGAGATGGAGAGCGAGATTCAGAAGATGGAGTTTGACTTCCGCGGCACCACTGTCATTTGCCGGTGAGACAAGAGTGCTTGATGGACACTGAGTTAAATGAGAATGAAGAGGAGAAAGAGAGAGGAAGGAAGAGAATGAGATTGAGAAAGAGGAGATGGAGAGTGAGATTCAGTAGATGGAGTTTGACTTCCACGGCACCACTGTCATTTGCCGGTACGTCGAATTCTGAGTGGTGAAGCATGTATGTATTGGCCTCATTACTATGGTACATACATACATGGTGATGAGCGAGAGGGAGAAGGAGGAGATGGAGAGTGAGATTCAGAAGATGGAGTTTGACTTCCGCGGCACCACTGTCATTTGCCGGTATGTCGAATGCTGGGTGGTGACAGTGGTGATGAGCGAGAGAGAGGGAGAAGACTGCCGACCCTACCAAGCTCTTTGTCTCTTATGTCTGAGCCCTGATCGTGCTGGCAGCAGAGGCAGAAAATGCTGATGCTGCACACGCCAGGGCACTCAGGGTGGTGCTGAGCCTCTGTTCCGCTCTCCCTCTCCATCTCCTTTCTCCCTCCCCGCCCCCCCTTCCCTCCGCTCCTCTCTGCTCCCCTTCCTCCCTGCTGCAGGTCCGGCTCACCCCTGGTGCTGGCTGATCTCAAGAAAGTGTCTGTCTCAACTGCCCGGGCGCTGATCGTGCTGGCAGATGCAGAGAACGCAGATGCTCCAGACATCAGGCCGCTGAGGGCTGTGCTGAGCCTATGTTCCCCTCTTCCTCTCCACTTCCCCTCACTTCCCCCTTCCTTCCGCCCTCCCCCTTGCTGCAGGTCTGGCTCTCCCCTGGTGTTGGCTGATCTCAAGAAGGTATCTGTCTCCACAGCTCGAGCTCTCATCGTTCTGGCGGAAGCAGAGAACGCGGATGCTGCCGACGCCAGGGCGCTGAGGGTGTTGTTGAGTCCCTTCTCCTTTTCATCTCCCTTTGGCCTCTTCCCCCTTGCTACTGCAGGTCCGGCTCGCCCCTAGTGTTGGCGGATCTCAAGAAGGTGTCTGTCTCAACGGCCCGGGCACTCATCGTGCTGGCAGAGGCAGAGAACGCGGATGCTGCAGATGCGAGGGCGCTGAGGGTGGTGCTGAGCCTTACTGGCGTGCGGGAGGGGCTAAGGGGACACATTGTGGTGGAGCTGAGCGATATTGACAACCAGCAGCTGGTGAAGGTGAGGAGCAGTGTAGAGTGGTGAGGAGCGGTGTAGGGTGGTGAGGAGAGGTGTAGGAGAGACGCCAGGGCGCTGAGGGTGGTGCTGAGCCTCACAGGCGTGTGGGAGGGGCTAAGGGGACACATTGTGGTTGAGTTGAGCGATATTGACAACCAGCAGCTGGTGAAGGTGAGGAGAGGTTAAGAGCAGTAATGAGAGGTATAGGCAAGATGCCAGGGCGCTGAGGGTGGTGCTGAGCCTGACAGGCGTGCGGGAGGGGCTGCGGGGCCACATTGTGGTGGAGTTGAACGATATTGACAACCAGCAGCTCGTCAAGGTGAGGAGAGGTGTAGAGTGGTGAGAGGCAGTTTAGTGTGGCGAGGAAAGGTGTTGAGTGGTGAAGAGAGGTGCAGTGTGGTGAGGGCGAGGGGCTTGAGTGAGGGAAGGGCTGCGGGGGCACATTGTGGTGCAGCTGAGTGACATTGACAACCAGAGACTGGTGAAGGTGCGGAGAGGTATAGAGTGCTGAGACGTGGTTCAGTGTGGTGGGGTGAGTTGTAGGGTGGTGAGGAACAGACTGGGGCTGGAAGTGCTTGAAGCTGAGATGCTCTGGTGTCCCTCTCCTCCCTTCCCCTCCTCTCCCCTCCCTTCTACTCCCCTCCTCTCCCTCCCATCAACCCCGCTTGGCACTGCTCAACCCACCCCCCTTTCATCCTGTTGCTCCTATCCTTCAACCTCTCAGTGCACAAACCCACTCCTTCCTTTCCCCCATCCATCTCTCCCCTGCTCTCCTCCTCCTGTCCTATCCGCCCCCCACCCCTCCGCCTAACCGCACAGATGGTGGGGGAACGGATGGTGGAGACAGTGGTAGCTCACGACGTGATCGGGCGGCTCATGATTCAGTGCGTCCGCCAGCCCGGCTTGCCCGTGCTGCATCCCCCTCTCATCACGTTGCTCTTTTCCTCTGCCAAACCATACAGATGGTGGGGGGACGGATGGTAGAAACAGTGGTCGCTCACGACGTGATCGGACGGCTCATGATTCAGTGTGCCCGCCAGCCCGGCCTCGCCCAGATCTGGGAGACCCTCCTCGGCTTTGAGAACTGCGAGTTCTACACCAAGCACTGGCCCGAGCTGGTCGGAAAGACCTTCCGGGAGGTCCTGCTCTCGTTTCCTGATGCGGTGCCGTGCGGTTTGAGGGTTTCTGCGCGGACGTACTATGCGAAGAGTACGGAGGCGGTGGGGTTTGAGCTGGGTGGGGGGAGCATCAGTGGGAGTGAGGAGGATGAGGAGGAGGAGGAGGAGGAGGAGGAGGGGAAGGAGGGGGAGGGGAAGAGGGTGCATAAGGAGAATACGCGGCTGTGGCTCAACCCAGATGATGATTATGTGCTTCAGGTGAGTGCTTTCAGCTTGCTGTGCTTCAGGTGAGTGTTTTCAGCTTGCTGTGCTTCAGGTGAGTGCTTTCAGCTTGCTGTGCTTCAGGTGAGTGCTTTCAGCTTGCTGTGCTTCAGATGAGTGCTTTCAGCTTGCTGTGCTTCAGGTGAGTGCTTTCAGCTTGCTGTGCTTCAGGTGAGTGCTTTCAGCTTGCTGTGCTTCAGGTGAGTGCTTTCAGCTTGCTGTGCTTCAGGTGAGTGCTTTCAGCTTGCTGTGCTTCAGGTGAGTGCTTTCAGCTTGCTGTGCTTCAGGTGAGTGCTTTCAGCTTGCTGTGCTTCAGGTGAGTGCTTTCAGCTTGCTGTGCTTCAGGTGAGTGCTTTCAGCTTGCTGTGCTTCAGGTGAGTGCTTTCAGCTTGCTGTGCTTCAGGTGAGTGCTTTCAGCTTGCTGTGCTTCAGGTGAGTGCTTTCAGCTTGCTGTGCTTCAGGTGAGTGCTTTCAGCTTGCTGTGCTTCAGGTGAGTGCTTTCAGCTTGCTGTGCTTCAGGTGAGTGCTTTCAGCTTGCTGTGCTTCAGGTGAGTGCTTTCAGCTTGCTGTGCTTCAGGTGAGTGCTTTCAGCTTGCTGTGCTTCAGGTGAGTGCTTTCAGCTTGCTGTGCTTCAGGTGAGTGCTTTCAGCTTGCTGTGCCTCAATGAGGGCTTTCTGTGCTTCAGCTGAGTGCTGTCTCTGTCTCAGGGTTAAATCTCTCTCACCTGATCCACAGCTGCACTCGCCAATTTTGAGGCGCCTCAAAACTAGACTTCTCTCACGCGGATTGTTTTTTTTTAGGCGCCTCAAAACTCACCTGATCCACAGCTGCACTCGCCAATTCCACCCATCCCTCCCACCCCACCCACTTGGCCTCCCTCCCCCGCCGCCTCCCATCCCCCTCCTCCTCCTCCGCCCCCACGTAACCCAGCCTGAGGCTGATGACGATTCCTATGCCTCTGGCACACCTGGAGTTCCTCCCACTGCCCCCCCCCCCCCCCTCGAATGGTCCTGCATTGGATATAGCGTGCAATACATCAGGGTAGTTTTATAGATTCAAGCACAGGCACGCATCAGGGTAGTACCCCTCCCTCTTCCCCCCCCCCCCCTCTTCCCCCCCTCCCTCTTCCCCCCCTTTCCTCTTCACCACCCCCTTCCCTCTTCCCCCTCACCCTCTCCCTCTTCTCCCCCCCCCCTCCCTCCCCCCCCTCCCTCTTCCCCCCCTCTCCCTCTTCTCTCCCCCTCCCTCTTCCCCCCCTCTCCCTCTTCACCCCCCCTCCCACCTCCCCCTCCCTCTCCCCTCTCCCCCTTCCTCTTCCCCCTCTCCCTCCCTCTCCCCGCTCTCCCTCCCTCTCCCCCCCTCCTCCCTCTTCCCCCTTCACCCACCCTCCCTCCAGCCGGAGGACTCAGTTCTTGTAATAGCGGAGGATGATGATTCCTATGCTCCCGGCCCGCTGCCCGTGGTGCAAGACGCCCCGCTGCCCGACATCGAAACCCCGCCGAAGCTGCCCGAGAAAATCCTCTTCTGTGGCTGGCGGCGCGATATCGATGATATGATCACGGTGCGGAAACGAGAGGGGGGAGAGGGAGGGGGGAAATGGGGGAAAGGGGTGGGTGGGGGGAGGACTGTAAGGGAGAGATGGGGGTGAAGTTGGTGGGGGAGAGTGGGGCAGGGGCTGGCGGCGCGATATCGATGATATGATTATGGTGACGAAGTGGGGAGGGTGTGGGGTGGTGTTGGGTGGGGTGGAGTGGAGTGGGGAATGGGAGGGGGAGTGAAAGGAAGGGATCGGGGGAAGGTGAGTTGGGGGAAGGTGAGTTGGGGGAAGGTGAGTTGGGGGAAGAGTGGGGCGGGGGCGCGATATTGACGACATGATTACGGCGAGGGAGAGGTGGGGGGGGGGAGGAAGGAGGGGAAATGTGGGGAAGATGGTGAGGGAGATGTGGTCGGGGGATGGGTGGAGGGGAGTTGGGGGGGGAGGGGGGGGAGTGGGATGGGGGAGTGTGGCGGGAGGAGTGAGGTGGGAGGATTGAGGTGGGGGGGGGGGTAAGGGTGGGAGGAGTGGGGCAGGGGGAGTGGGGTCGGGGGGGACTGAGGCTGGGGGGTGTAGGGTGGGGGGAGTGGGGTGGGACCGTGGGGGAAGTGAAAAGGGGGGGGGGGGGGGGGGAGGTACGGGGCGGCGGCGGAGAGAGTGGGAGGAGAGAGAGGCGCGGTTCATAGAGGGCGGGCTGAGCCCTTCTTGCTCCCTGCAGCCGCAAGCCACAGCCCTTGCCTCTACCTTAATCCGTGTGCCCTGACCCTGCCTCGTGCAGGTGCTAGAAGCGTTCTTGGCCCGGGGATCAGAGCTGTGGATATTTTCTGATGTACCTGTGGAGGAGAGGGAGGCGCGGCTCATAGAGGGCGGGCTGAACCCCAGCGAGCTGGAGAACGTGACGCTCGTGCACCGCATGGGCAACGCTGTTATTCGCAGGCACCTCGAGTTCCTCCCTCTTGAGACCTTTGATTCGGTGAGTGAGAAGGTCTGTGACCTGGTCTGGTAAGGGGGCTACTTACCTACCTACCTACTCTATCTTCCAGCGAGCTGGAGAACGTGACTCTCTCTCATGCACCGCATGGGCAACGCTGTTATCCGCCGCCATTTGGAGTTCCTGCCTCTTGAAACCTTCGACTCGGTGAGTAGGCTTCAGACTTAGAGTGGTAGAGTGGTATGGCTAACAGTGTTTTGACGTGGAAAGGGAATCATCTACCCTGATTCCAGCGAGCTGACGCTCGTGCACCGCATGGGCAGCGCTGTTATTAGGCGCCATCTCGAGTTCCTTCCTCCCCCTGGAAACCTTCGACTTGGTGAGTAAGCCTTTTAGCTGATAAGGCGCCTATCCCTGCCCTTATTGCCCCTCCCCTACTTCTGACCCCCATTCCCCTCCTCCCAACTCCTCTCCCTTTCTCCACTGCCCCCTCCCCCCCAGATCCTCATTCTAGCGGACGAGGGACGGGAGGACTCCAACTGCTACTCGCACTATCTCTCACTCTGCCCGTATCGCCCCTCCCCTTGTTCCGACCCTCCCCCCCCCTATTCAACTGTGACTCGCTCTCCCTTGCCCTGCCCTTATTGCCACCCCCCTGCTTCCCACCCCTTCCCCCAGATCCTCATTCTAGCGGACGAGGGGCTGGAAGATTCCATCAGCAACTGCGACTCGTGCTCTTTCCCACCCTGCCCTTACTGCCCCTTCCCTACTTCCGACCCTCCCTCCCTACCCTCCTCCCCCCCCCCCCTTCCTCCAGATCCTCATTCTAGCGGACGAGGGACAGGAGGAATCTAACATCCAACTGCGACCCGCGCCATCCCTCACTCTGCCCTTATCGCCCCTTCCTTACTTCCGACCCGCCCCTTGTACTCTCCTCCCCCTCCCCCCCAGATCCTCATTCTAGCGGACGAGGGGCTGGAAGATTCCATCATCAACTGTGACTCGCGCTCCCCCCTATCCTGCCCTTATCCCCATCCTCTCTTCTCCATGCTCACTCTCCTCTTCCTGCCCCTCTTCCCCTCCCCCCCAGATCCTCATTCTAGCAGACGAGGGCCTGGAAGATTCCATCATCAACTGCGACTCGCGCTCCCTCGCCACGTTGCTGCTCATCAGAGACATCCAGGTGGGTGGGTGCTTCCTGGAAGCGGTGTTATCTGTTCTAGGCACGCTGGTTCATTTATATGAGTTTGTGTCTACTGGTGCTCCCTCGCCACGCTGCTGCTGGGAGACATCCAGGTGGGTGGGTGCTACGTGGGGGAGGTCGTAAGTGGGGTAGGTGCTATGCTACCTGTGAGCTAGGCAGACGGGACTGGATCATTCACTTCCATTCCACCTTCTGTAAGCTCCCTCGTCTCGCTGCCAGCGCATGCCAGCGCGTGCCAGCGCGTGTCAGCGCGTGCCAGCGCGTGCCAGCGCGTGTCAGCGCGTGCCAGCTCATGCCAGCGCATGCCAGCAAACACCACCACAGCAGCTATATCAAGTACCTCCAGCTCCTCTCGACTTTTGAGACGTCTCAAAAACCGTCACAGCAAATATATCACGTACCTCCAGCTGCTCTCTTTCCCCTCCCTCCAATCCCCCATTTCCTTGGTAAACAACCACCCCCTCTCCCCCCTGTCCGCGTCCCTCCCTGCACTCCGCCAGTCCAAGCGCATGCCGGTGGGCAGCAAGGGCCACCGGCGCAGCAACTTGAGCATCACGTACTCCTGACCTGACTCCCCTCTGTCCCCTCCCTTTCCCTTTCCCCCAACTCTTCAATGCATGATACCCTGTCTTCCCCATCAGTCCAAGCGCATGCCAGCAGGCAGCAAGGGCCACCGGCGCAGCAACTCCTCAATCACGTACCCGCGCCCCACGTCCACGTCCTCGTGGGTGGGGCAGATGCAGCAGGCGTCGCAGCAGTCCATCGTGATCTCTGAAATCCTCGACTCGCGCACGCGCTCCCTCGTCTCCGTGTCTAAAATCAGCGACTACGTGCTCAGTAACGAGCTGGTTTCCATGGCTCTGGCAATGGTACGTGCACACTGCAGAGTAAAGAGCCTGTCTCTATGGCTCTAGCGATGATGATGGTAAGGCACTCCCTCGCTCCTCGCAGCAGTCCATCGTCATTTCCGAGATCCTCGACTCGGTGGGTGCTGGTACGGGTGTTATGGCTCTGGCAATGGCGGGTTTAGGGTTCAGGATCTCAGCAATGGTAAGACACTCCCTGGCTCCTCGCAGCAGTCCATCGTCATTTCCGAGATCCTCGACTCGCGCACGCGCTCCCTTGTGTCTGTCTCCAAGATCAGAGATTATGTGCTCAGTAACGAGCTGGTTTCAATGGCGCTGGTAATGATACGTGCGTGGGTCTTTCCTCCTCTCCCCGTCCTGGCACGTCCTGGCAGGTGGCCAAGGACAGGGGAGTCAGCTCTGTTCCGTTCCGTCCCTTGCGTGCAGTTTCTTGTTCTTATACTTGTGCAATCCCTCCTTCCGCACCCACCTCCCTCCTTCCCCTCTTATTGTCACATCCTGGAATGTGGCGGAGGACAGGAAGGTTAACCGCGTTGCCTCACTTGATTGCTGACTCTCACTCCTCACCTCTCTCTTTCTGGCCCCGCCCTTATAACCTTTCTCCCCACCCTCAGTAGAATCACATCTTTGTTATAAACTTCCGTTGTAATAAACTCCTCGTTCTCACTCCTGTTATTGTTACATCACATCCCAACAGGTGGCGGAGGACAGGAAGGTCAACCGCGTTTTGGAGGAGCTTTTCACCCCCGCGTTAGTCACCTTCTCCTCTCCCCCCTCCCCCCCCCCCCCCCCCCCCCCCCGCCCTTTCCCCCTTCCCCCTTCCCCCGCCCCTCGTTATAATCACCCTTCAACAGGTGGCGGAGGACAGGGAGGTCAACCGCGTTTTGGAGGAGCTATTTTCAGAAGAGGTATGTTGAGGGCAGGATTATCACATTTTTTTTTTTTTTCGAAATTTATTTGTGCTGGGAGGGGGAAGAATGGAGGGTGGGGGAAAAGCATTGGGGTGGTATTTTCCTGGGGAGGACGGGGAGGGAGGACTGTCCTTCCCTCTGCACCCGTTTGCACCCTTCTGCATCCCACTACACCCCTCTGTACCTATCCATGCCACTCCCCCAGGGCAACGAGATGTGCATCCGGCCGGCAGAGCTCTACCTCACAGACGGCGAGGAGCTCTCCTTCCCTCACACCTCAGCACCCCTCTATGCCCCTCTGCAATCATCCCATTCTGCCTTTCAGGGCAGCGAGATGTGAATCCGGCCGGCAGAGCTCTACCTTACAGACGGAGAGGAGCTGTCCTTCTTTGAAGTGGCGGTGCGGGCGCGGCAGCGCATGGAGATCATTTTTGGATACCGGCGCTTCACCCATTTGCACCCCTCTGCACCACCACCCTCCCCTAACCTCCCTTCAGGGCAACGAGATGTACATTCGCCCAGCGGAGCTCTATCTGACAGACGGAGAGGAGCTGTCCTTCTTTGAAGTCGCAGTGCGGGCGCGGCAGCGCATGGAGATTATTATCGGATACCGGCTCTTCACAGAGGATGAAGCAGTGCTGAACCCGCCGGACAAGGCTGAGAAACGCGCCTGGTCCATCCAAGACACGTTTATTGTTCTCTCGTTCAACGAGTAGTCGCGGCTTTTTGTTCACGGTTTTCCAGGCACTTCAAAACGGGAGCTTACGAAGCCTATTTAAGTGACTTTTGAGTCGACTCAGGAGCTTTCGAAGCTCACAAACTTAACCATAATCTTAGTACCGACCAGTAAAAGAGTATGGGATGGCACAGGGCTGCTAAACAAGGCCGAAAGATGTGCCTGGTTTGGTCCATTCAAGACACATGAGTTGTTTTGACTTTCAACGGGTAGCAGTCACGTATTGTCACTTACACATTCTTTTGCTTTTCCATGGGGCAGCCAGTGTGCCTATCCTGGGCAGGAGGGTGTGTTTCTGAGTGTGCGGTAGTCTCCCCTGAAAATATTCAGGTTTAAGGTAGTGCTAAAATAAGCTTCTATAGGTACGGTAGTCTCTTTACAAATCTTCCAAAAACTCCTTACCAGCTTGGCTTCTCCCTTAGGCTTGGACGTCTGACTTCACCCACTTAGGCTTCACTTCACCCACTTCATACTAAGGTATGTGTTACGTATGCAGGAGAGGAAAGCAGGTATTTGAGGTTGTCCCATCGAGGCATCAGAGCTCCATGTAGGGCGGTTATATGTGGTTTCACAAAGTGTTTTCTTGACATTTTCATTAGGTAATATTGAATTGCCCATACTACATGAAGCAACAGGTAGCTAATTGTTACTACGATACATTATGGCAAGTGTAGCACTGCTGTCACTCCCCCACTTCATAAACCACTTTCTCCTTTCTCCCTCCTCCAGAACTACCGTCATCCCCTCCCCTACCACCATCAGCATCATCATTAGCATCAGCATCACCATCACCAGCGGAACCAAGATTCCTAGAATCCTTACGTCCTCTACCCTTGGCAGTGGCACCAACATTACCGCCATCAACTCTCCCAACCCTACTTCTTCCATCCTCTCCCGAATTAACGTCAGCCGCTTTCCTGTGCATCTGCAGCATCAATCTGCAGTCCGCTAGCGCTTTCCCTCTCAGTCCCCCGCATTTGGAGCTTTCTCCGTCATCCATGGAAATCGCGAAATAGAGGTAAATCGTACAAAGGACGGCTAGGATCGCCATTGTCGTTAGCAGGTATTGATGCCGAGCCACCAAGGCTCGGAAAGAAAGGTCCACTTGTGCCGAACCTGGCGGCTGCGGCCTCGGACGATACTGGCTCTGGAGCCGGCTTCCAGACCTAACCGCCAGGTTCGCTTGCTGCGGGGATCGTAAGTGACGCTCGGAAGGGAGGAGGTTCGGAGAGGTTGGGAGGAGGGAGGGAGAGAGGGAGGATCCGGGAGGGATGGACGTAGGAAGCTTCGGATCTAAGGGGGGACTCGTGACACCGTGTCGCCTATAGACGTCCTTAGAAGCTGTGGAATATGATGACGTGGCAGTTGGGGAGGTCGGATCTTTGGGATCCGAGTTGTTGACTGATCGGTTCGCCATGGTTGCGAAAAAGGGACTTCCCCTCAATACTGCTTCCATTCACATCACAAACATGAAATATAAATCAAATCCTGGATCAGCAATTATACTCACGTGAAGAGTAAGGTTCTGCCAGAATGACCATGTGATGATCGAAATATTGACGGCCGATGAAAGGAACCAGCCTCCATTGTTCCCGATTCCTCTTGTTGGAGTTTCGAGAAAAGAACCCTTCCAACCCCTCAGCACCTGAGTCAAAATTCGGAAACCGCTTCATTTGGTACCAGGTCTGTTTTGGAACTGTGGAGTGACTGTACTGTACCACTGAAAATCGGGCACTTTAAAAATCAGGTGAAGAATTATAAGCGAATGGCAATTAGACATTGAGAATGCCGAGAGCAGATGAAGTGAATAGTATTGAAGAGAATCATCTACTAAAGCGTATGATAGGCTGGACCGCTACCACCCCCATCACTGCCAACTTTCTTTTCTTGATTTTATACACAAACGAAAACGCTAGACTCAAAACGACACACAGAACCAATGGGGGTTAGTACTGGCAGTCACACTGTTCGTAGGACCGTTGTTGAGTGCCGTTTTTTCGTCGCCACCAGTCGTACGATAGGACCAATCGCGCCGCACCGCATTGCATCCCCAATGCCTAGGGCATACCGTTTCCGATAATAATGTTATTTACGTATTCTATTACTGCTAACAGTAGTCTGCCATTTAGTCCAGCCCTACGTACTGCCTTTTCGGTAGTGCATTTGCTACCTGTGCCACGTCGCGTTAACTCCTTGGCCGAAGGCTCTCCATTCAAAGCTTTGCCGAGCCACACCATGCCGAGCCTAGCCAGGCATGGCATCCCCACCACAAGATTCCCCTCGAGACAGGTTACCGAGCCTCGCCTTCCCTCTCGCCTCACCGCGCCTACACTCACCACTCCGAGCCTCATCATTCCGAGCCTCACCGCGCGGAGCCTCCCCGAGACTAAGATCGCCAGGCCAAGCCTCTCTCAGCAGGCGACACAGCGGACGGCTAGGATTGCCCGAGATGGAAATCGAGTCGTTAGAAGGGAAGCTGCAGATTTTGGAGATTCAGCGACAGCTGAGCGCCGTCCGATGTCAGGCGTTCATGCAAGCCTTAGATTCCGCGATCCTTCAAGATGCTGCTGCTTCTGACGTGGCTATTGCTGGTTCTGACGTGGCTGCTGCTGATGCTGATGTGGATGATGATGCTGTTGCCGTCGATTCCGCGAAATCAGCTGAGCGCCAAATCCAGGCGAACGTGCCGGCCGGAGAGAAGGCTTATGCAGGGGAGGAGCCTGCATTTGCGGAAGAGAATGTAAATTTTGGAAAGAAGAAGGCCGTATCGCGTCCGCTGGCGCGTGGAGCATCCCTGGACGCGAGTTATAGATGGCGAACAGGATTGGGTGTGGAGACGGACATGGGGGGAACGAGGATGGAGATGGGGATGGGGATGGGGATGGGGATGGGGATGGGGATGGGGATGGGGATGGGGATGGGGATGGGGATGGGGATGGGGATGGGGATGGGGATGGGGATGGGGCTGGGAATGGGATTAGGTCTGAGCGTTTCAAGGGACGATTTTGAGAAGAGTGGTGCGAGTGACTGGGCTTCAGAGGAAACTTCTAGAGGAGATGTTCTTGTAACGAGAGATGCTGGTTTGGCAGGAAATGCTGCTTCTAGTGAAGCCACTGTTTCAGCACCACAGGACGGCAGGCGAAGAGGGAGGAGAGGAGGGGGAGGAAGAGGAGGAGAAGGAGGAGCAGGAGGATTAGGAGCAGATTTTTTAACCTCCACGTCATCCTCAACTTTCCTGACTTCACCACCCTCTCTTTCCTCATCATCGGCCACGTCAGCCGCAGCAGAGTTCTCCGCCACGTCAGCAACGCTGCCAATGACGGCAGCAGCAGGAACCGTCAGAGCTAAGCCTACTCGCCGATTAAGAGTCAGGAAAGCATCTTTAGACTTTAAAGGGGACTGGAACGTAGGAGGTATGGGAGGATGGGGGGAGGAAGAGGGAGTTAAGGGAGAACGAGGAGGAGGAGCGAGAGAGGGAGGTGGGGGTGGGGGGTTCGCTATAAGAGGATTCGGTATGGGTGGGTTTTCAGGAAGGTCTATGCTCCCCCCTCGCTCCCCCGGGCCAAGAGGGGAATCCCCGTTATTGAGTGCTGCGTTATTTGCTGGCCCAGTAGCGAGTGTCCCGTTATTGAGTGCTCCACCCTTGAGAGGCGGTGCCGTGCCTGCTGCTGCCATACCTGTTGGAAGGGGGCAGGAAGGGGGTCTAGTAGCTAGAGCGCTAGACCAATTGGAGGCGAGAGAATCCAGCCAATCAGAGGGGAGAGGGGGCAGCCAATCAGAGGGGAGAGGGAGCAGCCTATCGCAGGGGAGAGGGAGCAGCCAATCAGAAACGAGCGGGGCAAGTGAAAGGGAGGGAGCAGCTTGGGGCGGCTTATCTGCTGGGAGAGAGCAAGCCCGTTTTCCACAGAGCTATCAGCAGCCACTGTCCCAGCGCTCGCCACGTCAGCACTCGCCTTATCTGCATTCGCCACCTCAGCAATCACCTCATTCGCACATGCCACGTCAGCAGCACCTCCAGCAAGCGTCTTGCCAGCCGCCAGTTGAAGGGCACGCACCGTTCGGCCTATCAGGAGTAGTGGGCATGGAGGAACCTGAAAGCCAAAGCAAGGCGTTGTGGCAAGAGGAAGCCTATCAGGAAGGGGGGTTCTCTTCAGGGACATCAGACCACACATCTGGCCGCGTATCAGACCGTTCGGAGTGTGAGGAGCAGGAGAAGCAGGAGGGGCGGGAGGAACGGGGGGAACGGGAGGAGCGGGAGGCGCAGGTGGAATGGGAGGAGCGGGAGAAACAGGTAGAAAGGTTTCGACACATGCTGATTGCCCTGGGCATAGGGACGAGAGGTGGGGTCCTGGGGGGTCAGTGGCAGGGGCACAGGCAGGAGAAGAAGCAGGGACAAGAGCAGGTGATTGGGCGTGGGAAAGAGCAGGATAAAGGGCAGGAACAGCGTAAATCCTGGGCTGATGCTATGGGTGATCGTGCTGCTGCTTCAGCTGCTGCTGCTTCTAAGGTCATACCACCACCCACCGCGCTGCCACAGCAGCAGCAGCAGCGGCAACACCAGCAGCAGCGGCGGCAACACCAGCAGCAGCAGCAGCAGTGGCGGGATTTCGAGTCCCCACCATCATCAGACTACGACACCTCCTCCTCTGATGCCTCCCTCTTCCTGCAATCCCGCTCCCACGCTCGCTCGCTCACCCGCGCCCAAGCCCGCACTAAAACGTGCGCACGTGCTGCCACCCGTGCACCTGCTGCCACAGGCGTTAAAGCCCAATCAAATGGAGAAAGTGGTGATGCCAGTGCTGCTGCTGCTGCTCGTGCATCCTCGGGTGCAGCTGCCACATGTGTTAAAGCCCAAACAGACAGTGATGGTAACAGCAGAGGAGGTGGTGCCATTGGTGTTGCTGCAGCCACTGGTGCTGCTGCTGGAAAGATGGAAACGCCCGCTGCTGCTGCTGTTGCTTCATCTGTGCTACAGCCACTTTACCAGTCGTTTCAGAACTCGTCTGCAGCTGCTGCTGCTGCTACAGCCACGCAACAGCCGCTTCACCAGCCGTCCCAAAGCTCGTCTGCAGCAGCTGCAGGTTCAGCCACGCTACAACTGCTTTACCAGCCGTTTCAAATCTCGGCTGCAGCAGCTGCTGCTACAACTGCCACACTACAACCGCCGTCCCGCCTTGCCAGTGGCCGACAGTTATCTCTGGACTTGGGCAGGAGCAGCAAGTGGGGTGCGGAGGAGTGGAAAGGGGTGCTGGAGGTTTGTGCAGGGGTGGGGGTTGAGAGAGGGTTGGTTGGAAATGGAAATGCGAGCATGTCTTCGGGTGTGGGCTTGATTGGGCTCGATTCTTTGGGGCTGGTTGGGAATGGGGAGAAGGGTGGAGGGGAGGGTGGGGAGAAGGGTGGAGGGGAGGGTGGGGAGAAGGGTGGAGGGGAGGGTGGGGAGAAGGGTGGAGGGGAGGGTGGGGAGAAGGGTGGAGGGGAGGGTGGGGAGAAGGGTGGAGGGGAGGGTGGGGAGAAGGGTGGAGGGGAGGGTGGGGAGAAGGGTGGAGGGGAGGGTGGGGAGAAGGGTGGAGGGGAGGGTGGGGAGAAGGGTGGAGGGGAGGGTGGGGAGAAGGGTGGAGGGGAGGGTGGGGAGAAGGGTGGAGGGGAGGGTGGGGAGAAGGGTGGAGGGGAGGGTGGGGAGAAGGGTGGAGGGGAGGGTGGGGAGAAGGGTGGAGGGGAGGGTGGGGAGAAGGGTGGAGGGGAGGGTGGGGAGAAGGGTGGAGGGGAGGGTGGGGAGAAGGGTGGAGGGGAGGGTGGGGAGAAGGGTGGAGGGGAGGGTGGGGAGAAGGGTGGAGGGGAGGGTGGGGAGAAGGGTGGAGGGGAGGGTGGGGAGAAGGGTGGAGGGGAGGGTGGGGAGAAGGGTGGAGGGGAGGGTGGGGAGAAGGGTGGAGGGGAGGGTGGGGAGAAGGGTGGAGGGGAGGGTGGGGAGAAGGGTGGAGGAGAGTGTGAAGGGAGGGGAGGAGGTGAGGGTGCAGAGAAATTCGCGTCTGCTGCTGCTGCTGCTGGTGGTGGTGCTGGTGGTGCTGGTGCTGCCGATGCTGCTGCTGCTGCTGCTGCTGCTGCTGCTGCTGCTGCTGCTGCTGCTGCTGCTGCTGCTGCTGCTGCTTCTGCTGCTGCTTCTTCTTCTGCTGCAGCCACCTCAGCTGCTGATGGAAGCACAGGGGCATATTTCGAGTCCCCGCCATCGTCAGACTATGAATCTTCCTCCTCCGATGCCTCCCTGTTCCTGCGCTCTCGCTCCCACACCCGTTCCCACACTCTCTCCCACGCTCTCTCCCACACTCGCTCCCACACTCGCCCCCCCTCACTAGCCAGACTCTCCCTCACCTTCCCTCCCATACCCGTGCTCACACCCACTCCCTATCCCACACTCACTCTCACTCTCACACCCACTCTCACTCCCACACTCACTCTCACTCCTACACCCACGATCACGATAAAAGACACTCTCACTCCCACACTCCCTCCCACACACGCAATCAAGCTCATTCTATTCCCGCACGCCTATCACCACCCACTCTAGCCCTGGCCATTGGTTTAGACCAACCTCCCAGTCAAGCCAGTCAAGCGAGTCAAGCCAGTCAACCCAGTCAAGCCAGTCAAGCGAGTCAACCCAGTCAAGCGAGTCAAGCGAGTCAAGCCGGGTCAAATGGAGTAAGGCGTCCTACAGGGGGCCGGCATGCTCGTTCCTTTTCAGGCACTCTTGCTTACAGCCCTCGCTACAGCCCTCACTACAGCCCTATAGCACACCTATCCCCACCATCCCATGCCCCGACTGCTCCTCCTCCTCCTCCTGCCGCCCCTATGCTCCTCCTACTCCTCCTGCTGCTCCTCCTCCCCCTCCTGCTGCTGCTGCTGCTGCTGCTGCTGCTGCCGCCCCCATTCCACCTGGATCCACAGGGGTAAGACGACCTATAGGGGGCCGGCATGCCCGCTCGTTCTCAGGCACTCTTGCTTACAGCCCTCGTTATAGCGAAGGCTATAGCCCTACAGCGCACCTATCCCCATCAGCTCATGCCCCTATTGCTGCTGGTATAGACCTGCAGGCCCCCATTCTTGCCGGGTTATCTGCTACAGACTATTATCCCCCTAGTCAGACAAGTCAAGCAAGTCAAGGGGGGTCAACTGGAGCAAGACGACCAGTAAGGAGCCGGCATGCTCGCTCCCTCTCAGGCTCTGTGGCCTACAGCGCTCACTCTAGCCCTTCTATCAGCATCACAGGGCTTTCCGGCCCTTCTGTGTGCTCTCCCCATTTCTCTCGCTCTCGCACGCATGGGTTTCCGAGCAAACCCCCATGTCACCCAGTGCTTCACGGGGTGCTTTGGGTGGTAACCCTTGGGTAGTGGCTAGGGCAGAGGCAGCAGCAGCAGCAGGAGTGGGAAAAACAGGAGCAGAAGCAGGTCCAGGGACAGGAGCAGGAGCACGAGCAGGGGCAGGAGCAGCAGGAGCAGCAAAGCCAATGTTACCACCAGGCACTGCTTTAGCCACAGGAGGGGCAGCAGCACGTGCAGGGGAAGGAGTGGGAGAGAAAGGAGTTGTGGGAAGCGGTGCAAAGGAGCAGGAATGGGTTCTGCGAGACGCAGGCAGCCCGGGCGTTTGATGGCTGCTAGGCGGCTGTCCTTGGACTTAAACAACGAAGGGGTGTTTGGGAGAATCGGTTGGGAGGAGTGGACAGGGGAAAGCCTTGTGGTGAGTAGGCCAGGGGAGGGAGGGGACAGGGGTGTGACTAACGCAAGAGAGGGAGGGGATGTTGGTGTGATAAGAGCGAGACAGAGAGACGATGGGATCCAGAGGAGGGATGAAGCACAAGCAGAATACAGTGGAGGAAGGGAGGAGGGGGGAGGAGGTGAAAAGGTGACTCTAAGGGAGGAGGGTGCGAAGCGTTACGACACAAATCCGCCTGTGTTGCTGCAACGAAGCTTCCACAGAACTTCGGAGGTGCCTGCGGCTTCTCAGAGAAGCTGCCAGGCAGTTTCGCCTTGTGATCCACCTGAAATTGCTGCTTCAAACGTCCCCGACAGCAACACAGGAGATAGAACTCATACTATGTCTGGCGGCATACCTGGCAGCAAGAGTGGTAGCAGAATTGGCAGCAGCTCTGGCAGTAGCAGCAAGCCCATACGTCCCCTGTAAGGCATGCCTCGTTGAATCTGAGACACTCTGTGGATGAGTGGCGGGAGGCGCAGGGGGAGAAGGATGGGAGGGAAGGGAGGGAAGATAGGGAAGGGAAGGAAGGGAGTGGCAGCAAGATTGACAGCAAGATTGGGAGCAAGAGTGGGAGCAAGGCTGGGAGCAGCAGTGGCAGTAGCAGGCCCTTACGTCCCCCTGTGAGGCATGCGTCCTTGAATCTGAGACAAGCGGTGGATGAGTGGAGGGAAGGGCAGGAGGGAAAGGATGGGGTGAAAGGGAGGGAGAAACGTTAGGGAAGGGAGGGAAAGGACGGTAGCGGGTGAAGGGATTGAAAAGCTGGAGGATTGGCGAGAGGGGAAGGAAGCGCGGCCTGAAAGGACGGTACGATGCAACATTCGTCCCTTCAAGGCCTCCTCTCGGCCCCCTGTGAGGCACGCTTCACTAAACATGCACCGAATGATGGACGAGTGGAGGGAGGGACAGGAGCGGAGGATGGGGCAGGAGGGGAGGGAGGAGGACAGGCGGGACAGAAAACCTGAGCTGGTAACGAGGGGTTTGGAGGGGCAAGGTGGCCGGTCGTTTGAGTCAACTCTTGAGTCGGCTCAAAGGTTGGAGGGTCAAGGTAGCCGGTCTTTTCCTGAGTTTTTAAAGCCGCACCAGCTGTGGGATTTGGATCCATCTGATACTGAGCTTTCAGGGCCGGAAGTGCCTGGGTCATCTTGTGATGGTGGTGGTGTTACTGCTGAGGGTGCTGGCACAGCCACAGACCCGTTTGACTTCCTTGACAAGCCGGTTGTTAAGTCGAGATTAGCGCTTCTTAAGGAGAAGAAGAAGAAGGAAGTTGGGTTCAAGACTCCTCAAAAGGAGAAGAAAAAAGGGGTTGCGGGTTGTTCTGAGAGGTTTCAGAAGGAGAGCGAGGGGCGGATAAGCAGGCAAAGGTCGTTGGATTCGAGAGCAAAGGGACTGCTGGGAAAGGGAGGGTCGTGGGACTTGGGGGGATGGGACTGGGGTGAAGGGGAAGCACAAGGGAAGGGGAAGGTGCAGTTTCAACAGAGTTTTGGACCTAAGAAGGAGGGCTCGAATCCGAGCCAGTTTTGTCTCGAGCAGGCTTCTGCACATATACAAACGTCTGGTTTTGAGAGGTTTGAGACGTCTCAAATTCCTGGTGCTGGTGCGGGTGCTGGCCGATTTGAGACAAATCAGAGCGTGGGTTCTGGGTTTGAAGCCGAGGGTATGTTAGAGAGAACAGGGTGCTTTGACGTGAGAGGGTTGTTGGCGTGTGGAAGTGGGGGCAAGGGAGTCACAGGTGGTGCTTACACGGGGGGCGGAGGGCTAGGGAGGTGGAGGTCACTGGATGGGTCATGGGACATGGGGGATGGAGCGGGAGGAAGAGAGAGAAGAGGGGGAGTGAGAGCAGAGGAGGGAGGAAGGGGGGATGTGCGAGGGGAGGGGGAGAAGAGGGTGGAGGATTGGCTGTTCAAGTCACAAAGGGATGATCAGCAGTACCACCAGTCTTTTGCTGCTTCTAATAGCGGTGCTGCCGCCGCTTCTGCTGTCACTGCTTCTGCTGCTGTGCCTGCTAGGAGCAGTGGTGTCAGATGGACAGAACTTCCTCAGAGTCCCATGGGGAGCCCTCAAACCACCCGTCCTCTTAGTAGCCGATTCGTTAAAAGCCCTTCTTTATCAAGCGCTTCCGTCACAATCCCGTCATATAACTATTTCACCAGTGGCAATCCCGTCAACATTCCCAGAAGCCCCTCCTCTAGAGCCGGGTTCCCTAAAAGTTACTCGCTTAAAAGCCCGCACTTAAGGAGTCCTAGCGCATTGAGTCCCGGCCTTACCAGCCCGAATTTAAGAAGCCCCGGTCTTACCTGTTCGCACTTAAGAAGCAGCCCTAGCGCAATGATCCCTGGTGTTTGCAGCCCGCATGTAAGGAGCCCAACTAGTGCTATAAGCCCTCTTTCCAGAAGCCCTTGTGTTAAGAGCCCCTTGCGTAGAGTATTGCTGAATGCATCTGAGCTTTCCTCTCCTCCTCCTGCTGCTGCTGCTGCTGGTGGTGCTGCCACTGCTGTTGCTGCTGGCACTGATGCTGGTGCTACCAGTTGTACTGGTGCTGCCGGTGCTGCTGGTGCTGTCAGGGCGGCTGTCTCAGCAGCCAGCCCTGCTGGGTTTCTTGAAAAAGCACCAGAGGGGATGAGCACTCGAAATAGGCTGGGGGGAAGGCAAGCGTCCCTAGATCCCAGAAGCTTGCAGGTAGGAAAGCAGAGGGTGGTGATGATGATGGGAGGGGAGAGGAGTGGGGAAGTGGGAGGGGGAGGTGGGGAGGGGAAAGGGAGAGGGCTGGAGGAGGGAGGAAGAGGAGGAGATGGGAGGAGAAGAAGAAAAGAGGAGAGGGGAAGAGGAAGCGAATTGATTGGTTTGCTGGTGCAGGAGGGGGGGGAACCGAAGCAGCAACAGCAGCAGATTCAGCAGCAAGTGAAGGGGAAGCAGAAGAACGAGAAGCAGGGGCAGCAGCAATTAGGGCGGCACCGATCCCTTGATCCATGGGCCTTCAGCCGTGCCTTAGAGGGTAGCAGGGAGGCCACAAATGAGGATACAAGGGAGGTTCTGAACGAGGGTAGCAGGGAGTCTACAAACGAGGCTAGCCAGGAGGTTGCAATTGAGGGTAGCAGGGAGGCTACAAATGAGGATATCAGCGATGGTGCTGGAGCTGTAAGGAAGGAGGAAGCACAGAGGAGAAGCATTTTCCAACTCCCTTCAGATAGTGATTTCTCAGGGCCCGATGCTCCTCTGCCCACTGCTGCTGCTGGTGCTGCTGGTGGTGTGGACAGGGCTGGTGTAAAGGCTGCGGGGGATGCTGCTGCTGGGGCTGCTAGCATTGCCGCCTCTCCCAATCGGACTGATGTTGACTCGTTTGACTTTCTTGGGAAGCCGGAGGTGAAATCGAGAATGGCGCTGCTCAAGGAGAAGAAGAAGAAAGAAGTTGGGTTTGAGATTCCTCGAACGGAGGAGAGAGCGGGGCGGGGGCACGCTCACCCTCCCCTTCACAAGCAAAGGTCGCTGGACGCTCGAACCTGGGGGCCTTTGACCTTGGGTTCTGCTGCTGCTGGGAAGACTGGCGTTGACTCGTTTGACTTTCTGGGGAAGCCGGAGGTGAAGTCGAGAATAGCACAGCTGAAGGAGAAGAAGAAGAAGGAAGTGGGGTTTGAAAAGCTTCAAAAGGAGAAGAAAAAAGGGTGGGGACGGATGCACCCAGGGACTCCACTTCACAAGCAAAGGTCCCTGGATGCTCGAACCTGGGGGCCTTTAACTTCGGCTAGTGCTGCTGCTGCTGCTGCTGCTGCTGTGAAGACTGGCATTGACTCGGTTGGGTTTGTTGACCAGCCTGTTGTGCTGCTGCCAATGCAGCGGCATGCTTCCCTGGATTCGAGGAGAGGGTTCCTGGATTTCAGGGAGGATTCGCTGGATTCAGGGGGAGAATCCCTGGGTTTCAGGGAAGGTTTGCGGGATGTGAGGAAATACTCTCCTCTGGATTTCAGCAAGGAATTTCGGGATGCGAGAAACGTTTTGCTGGATACGAGGGAAGAATCGTTCAATTCCACTGGGGCATTCTTGGATTTTGAGGGGAAATCGCTGGATTTCATGGGGGAGGGAAAGGTTGGTAGGTTGAGGAGGAGGGGTTCGCTCGAAAGTGTGAGAGGTTCTAAGCAAGATGTTTACTTGAACGTTGCTGGTGGGGAAAAGTGGGGGGATAGGAGCTGGGGACGAACTGGAGGGGGGCGGAGTTTGGGGACTCGACGGCAGCGCTCGCCACTGGGGAGGAGGAGATCGATGGGGGGAGGAGGGATGGGGGGAGGAGGTCTGGACTTTGGTTTGATTGTGCAAAATGGGAATGTTGAAGGTCGAATGGATGACCGTGAATGGGGAAAAGAGGGATTGGGGCGGAATTTGGGGACTCGACGGCAGCGCTCGCCACTGGGGAGGAGGAGATCGATGGGGGGAGGAGGGATGGGGGGAGGAGGTCTGGACGTTGGTTTGATTGTGCAAAATGGGAATGTTGAAGGTCGAATGGATGACCGTGAATGGGGAAAAGAGGGATTGGGGCGGAATTTGGGGACTCGACGGCAGCGCTCGCCGCTGGGGAGGAGGAGATCGATGGGGGGAGGAGGGATGGGGGGAGGAGGTCTGGACGTTGGTTTGATTGTGCAAAATGGGAATGTTGAAGGTCGAATGGATGACCGTGAATGGGGAAAAGAGGGATTGGGGCGGAATTTGGGGACTCGACGGCAGCGCTCGCCGCTGGGGAGGAGGAGATCGATGGGGGGAGGAGGGCTGGACGCTGCTTTGATTGGGAAGGTTGGGGATGCTGGGAATGGGGAGGAGGGTCGAAGAGATGATAAGGAGTGGGGAAGAGAGGGAATGGGGCGGATTTCTGGGAATCGACAGCAGCGCTCGCCACTGGGGAGGAGGAGGTCGATGGGGGGGGGTGGGTGGATGCTATTTCTTTGGGGTTTGAGGTGAACAATGGGGACAGTGATGCTGGAAAGGAGGGGAAGGAGTTGGGAAGAGTGAGAGGGAGGTGGGATTCAGGCGCTCAGGAGCTTTCTGTTCTAGCACGGAGTAGGTCTATGGGTGGAGCAGCATTAGACGTCGGTTCTTTGGGGTTGGGCAGAGAGGGCATTGAAGCTGGAAACGGTGGGAAGGAGTGGGGAACGGTGGGAGGGACGTGGCATGGGGCCGCTAATAGAGGGCGGTCGCCACTGGGGAGGCGGAGGTCGCTGGGGGGAGTGGGGGAGGTGGTGCATTATTTATCGGCTGTCAGTGCGTGGGCTGAACCTGAAGAAGGCTCTGGAAAGAGCAAAAGGCTGGGTGGTTCGAGACGAAAGTCTCCTCTCGGGAGACGGAGGTCGGTGGGGGGAATGGGAAAGGCGGTTGACCTTTTATCCTTTCCAGATGAAGAGGCTGAGGGTTTAAGATTGGCCGAGATGCAGGGTAGGTCGAGACAAAAGTCTCCTGTGGGGAGGCGGGGGTCGATGAGTGGGTTAAGGTGGACGGTTGACCGTCTATCGACTTCGGATGAGGAGTCTAAGGGTTCAAGAACGGGTGAGTTGAGGCGCAGAGGTGCGAGAGGAAGGTCGTTGCTGGAAAGGAGGAGGTTGATGGGGGGAATGGGGGGCACAGTTGACCGTTATTTATCAACTTCAAATGAAGAGGCTGAGGGTTCAGGAACAGGTGAGAGGCAGGGTGGTTCGAAAGGGAAGTCTTTGCTGGAAAGGAGGAGGTCGATGGGGGGAATGGGGGAGGTGGTTGGGTGTGTGTCAGCTCTGAGTGTGTGCGTTGAGGGTACAGGGACGGGCAAGAGACAGGGTGGTTCGAGAATGAAGTCTCCTCTGGGGAGGAGGAGGTCGATGGGGGGAATGGAGGGGACGGCTGACCAATTATCGGTTGTGAGTGAGTGGGCTGATGAGGGTGCAGCAGGAATGAGCGGAAGGCAGGGTGGTTCGAGACGAACGTCTCCTCTGGGGAGGAGTAGGTCGATGGGGGGGATGAGGGGTACAGACATGGCTGACCAGTTATCAGCTCTGGAGGGAGTAGGCGATGAGGGTACAGGGACGGGCAAGGGACAGGGGGGGTCGAGAAGAAAGTCTCCTCTGGGGAGGAGGAGGTCGATAGGGGGGAGAGCGAGCGCTGCTTTCGTTTCGGCTGCTGAAGCAAAAGCAGAGATGGTAACTGATTCAGAAGCAGAATCAGTAGCAGGAGCAGGTAACATACACGAGGAGAGAGGGACGAAAGGCAGGAAATTCCTTTGCCCCCCCTTCAACTCCCCCTCACTCGGGTTCTCTACTCTAGGCCTTTCCCCAGAGCTCGAATCGGTAGATTCCCCAGTCTGGAGCGCATCCAGGGGGGATAGCAGGAGAGATTCTTATAACGAGGACGTGAGACGGGCTTCTAACGATTTACCTGTGGAGGCTGAGAGTGGGGGGGCACCTGGGCAGGCAAAGAAAGGGTCGTATGAAATTAGAGTGCAGCGTTCGAGTCCGTCTGTTCTAGACACGTCCCGTGAATCGGATTCTGCTGTTTGGGACAAGTCGTTTGGGTCGACTAGAAAACTGTCTCATCACATGTCAACCCTATTAGACACGTCTCATGAGTCTAATTCTGCGGATTCTCCTGTTTGGACAGGTGCTGCTAGTGCTAGTAGAGCTGTTGTGGATACACACGAGTCAGAGTCTGCTGATTCGCCTGTGTGGGGGACAGTGAGCGGCGGCAGGCGAAGGGGAGTGAGAGAAGGAAGGAGCGGTGGGTTCCCAGGGGATGAACCAGCGGCCAGCAGGAAACCCCGAGGCCTCGTTGTGGAGTCATTAGAGTCAGAGTCTGCTGATTCGCCTGTGTGGGGAACAGTGAGTGGTGGAAGGCACGGGGGAAGGCGCGAAGGAGGAGGAGGCGGAGGTGGGTTTACAGCGGCTGTAGGGGCGAGCAGCAGGGGACCGCGAGGGCTTGTTGTGGATTTTTTAGAGTCAGAATCGGTCGATTCGCCTGTGTGGGGAACGGTGAGTGGTGGGCGGAGAGGGGTAGGGATGGGTGAGAGGGAGGATGTTTTTACTGCAGATGGAGCAGTGGGAGAGGGAAGAGGAAGAGGAGTAACTTCTGATCCTGCAACTCCTGATGTGGCACCTGATGAAACACCTGATTCAGCACCTGATGCCGGAGCTGATGAAGCAGCTGATGATGCAACATCTGATGTAGCACCTGATACAACACCTGGTACATTGGATGCTGCAGCATCTGCTACCACTGCAGGTGTGAGGTGCTTCGACAGGGTTGATGGGCAGACAGAGGTGGGGGCTTTCGAGGCGCGTCAAAAGTCACCTGATGCAACACCTGACGCAACACCTGATGCAACACCTGATGCAACACCTGAGGCTGCAGCATCTGCTACCACTGCAGGTGTGAGGTGCTTCGACAGGGTTGAAGGGGAGACAGTGGGGGAGGAAGGAAGTTGCCGGCGTGAGGAGAGGGAGGAGGGCGGAGAGGAGGGAGAAGGGGAGGGAGGAGGGGAGGGAGGAGGGGAGGGCGTTGGTAGTAAGAAGGTGAGTGAGGAAGTGAGGGAGCGAGTGAGTGAGCGAGAGGGTGAGGAAGTGTGTAGGGAAGTGAGTGAGGGAGTCAGCGCAAAGGAGAGTGAGGAGGTGGGCACTAGCTTGAGGGTGAATGCGAATTCAGCCTGGCAGGGAGCAGGGAGGAGGAAGGAAAGCCCCTCTTCTGTGCCACCTTCCTTGAAAGGTGTGAATGGGAAGGTGGAGCTGGGGAAGGTGGAACTGGGGAAGGTGAGACTGGGGAAGGTGAGACTGGGCAAGGCGAGTCAGGGGAAGGCGAGTCAGGGGAAGGAAAAAGTGCTGTGAAGGAGATGAAAGAGACGACAGAAATGAAGGGGATGAAGGGGATGAAGGAGATGGAAGAAATGGTAGAGCTCATGGAGATTGCTACAGCGGCAGCGAGGGCCTTGAGACGCCCGGAAGAAGACAGAGGCATGCAATCATATGCCACTAGTTACAAGGTGACCGCCAGAGAAGCCAGAGCCATGCAAGCACATGCCACTAGTTTCGAGGCATCTCAACCCTCACATCCCGCCTCCTATCCCACCTTCCGCCCCTCCTCCCATCCCTCCTCCCGTCCCTCCTCCCATCCCGCCTCCTATCCTCCTACTTCCCCGCCTCCCTCCCTCCCTCCATTGTCCCCAACCTCCCATCCCCTCTCCCATCGGCATCCTCCTCCCTCCCACCCCTCTCCTCCCTCTCATCCCCCTCCTCCCTCCAACCCTTCTCCTCCCTCCCATCCCCCTTCTCTCTTCCGCACACTCTCCACCTCTCTCCTCCCCTTCAGACCACCCTCCCTCCTCCGAACCCTCTCCTCCTCCTTCTCCTCCTCCCCCTCCTCCGCCGAACCTGTCCTTCAAAGCTCTCGCTCTGCGTCTTTCCCCGGACCTGCGATTCCCCCTCTCTCCTCGCCCTCTCCTGTGCCCTCTGCCCCTCCTCCTTTGCCTTCCGAGGCCCCTGCAATTCCGCCTTCCTCTGGAAGAGGGATCAGCAACAGCAACAGCACCAGCACCAGTAGCAGCAGCACCAGCACCAGCACCAGCAACAGCAGAAGCAGAAGCATTGGCAGCAGCAGCGGCGGCAGAAGGAGAGCTAGGACGCGGAGCAACACCAACACTGCTAATAGCAGCACCTCTACTATCACCACCTCTACTATCACCACCTCTACTATCACCACCTCTACTATCACCACCTCTTCTACAAAACCCTCTTCTACCAAACCCGCTTCTAACAATACCACCACCAGCAACCGAATTCGTCGAACCCTCTCCTCCTTTTCCTTTCTTACTCAACACCCATCGCCCCTTCCTCCTCTTCTTCCTGTTCCGTTCCCGTCATTATCTGTTACAACACCCTCTGCTACCACTTCGGAAGTCACAACAGTCAATACGCCCAGTAATACTGAAAATGCCATACCCACCAGCACAACTCATGAAAATGACACCGTGACTGGGGCTGCTGATTATGCTACAGCCGCTGCAGCTACAACAGATGCTTCTTCTGCTACAGCTGCTGCAACAGCTAGTGCTGCAACATCTAGTGCTGCAACAGCTAGTGCTACAACTGCTGCTGCTGCTACAGCCGGCGCCAGTCCCTTCTATCGAAGCTTCTCCCTCTCTGCTTCCTTTGCAACCCTCCGCCGCACCACCTCCAGCTCTTCTTTATCGCTCTTCACCTCTCACCTTCCCTCCTCTGGCTTCCTCCTCCTCCTCCTCCTCCTCCTCCTCCTCCTCCTCCTCCTCCTCCTCCTCCTCCTCCTCCTCCTCCTCCTCCTCCTCCTCCTCCTCCTCCTCCTCCTCCTCCTCCTCCTCCTCCCTATTCCTCGTCTATCCGACGGAAATCAGAGAGTTATAAGGAGCGTGCCTCCGTGTCCCCACACCAACCTAGTGCCTATCCATCCTCGTTATTACCATCCACATCCCGGCGTGCGTCTATTGATATGCCCGAGCTGGGAGCATCGCTTTTAAGATTGCCGAGCCTTTCTTCTTTGCTCCCCCAATGGAAGGAAGGCAATGTATCGAGTAGCTACAAGGAGGGCGATTTACCCTAGAGTTTTGTGAGGACGAATGTGTCCAGACAAGCAAGTTTGGCTGCAAATAACTCCAGCTAGAGTTACTAGATTATGTAAATTATGCGAGTTGTTAGTAGCCAGAACGGCATTACAATTCCTTGCAATTCCACGTGTCTTCTTGTACCTGGAACAGAGAGCAAAAGAAATCAGCCACCAGGAATATTAGTTAATTTCCAAATGCTAGTAGTTTTTTTTCTTATCTCTCTTGAAACTTCCTAAGTTTCAAACCAGCCAACCTTCTCACACCGTCTGATGCCGATTTGAACCGCGATGATATTTCCTCCGCGGCGTGCCACGCTGAGGTGAAACGTGTGAGATTTCTTTCCGCAATTCCCCGCAATGCCAGTGTTTCTCCTGCGTGTCAGACGATTTTTTAGGCAACTAGGAGAATTATCTTCGACGCGAAGCTTAGCCCGCCAGGGAACTCTTCTAAGCGTGCGTACGAAGCAATATGACCGTTTGTCTTGCGTACGCCACTGGGAAAATCGCACCTCACATTCCTCTGATAGAGTACACCGCGTGTACTCGCTACAGTGGTACGCAGCGTCACTGTGGCTTAAAATGCAGCACCTTTTTAGCGAGGATTTCCTGGTCGTGTAGTCTACAGGAAAATCTTTGTCCAACATCTAGCGACATCATCGCTGACGTCAGATCAGGGTCACAGGCTCGACGGAGAAATGTGACCGTTGCTGCGAAGAAGCGGCGCGGCGGAGCAGTCGAAAGTCAAGCCCGCCGCGGTAACGCGGAAGCGAATGTGATTACAGCGAGATGTGACTGTCCGTGGTGCTTCCCCGCTGCTGCTGCTTCTCCTGCTACTTCTTCTGCTACAGTCCCAAAAGGGTCGCTTATTGTAACAACAGTGACGGGAGGTCCTGAGAGACGAACGCGGGGAACAGACGGTGACGGAGGTTCGAGGAGGGGAGCACTAAGGGGTGCCGGTGCTGCAGGGGGTGGTGGGGGGGAAACCGACGAAGGACGCGAGCAGGCAGAGGGAGGAGTGGGAAACGGTCGAGAGGGGTATGGAGGCTCGGAGGTCAAAGTAGAGACGGAAGGGGAGAGGAGAGAGGGAGCGAGTGAGGGGGGAGTGGGGGAGAGGGGAGCGGAGGCTTTGGAGGAGCCTCCTGCTTCTCCTGCCGTGGAGCTCGCGGTTCGAATCCTCAAGTGCTACAAACGTGAGCGGTGACGGGACCCGTACGTCTGATTTTTTATAAGGAAAAACCTGACATTGCATGCTCTAACTTGTCAGTATCCTCTCAATGTTCCTTTTCCATCTACCTCCCTATAATCTCTCCTCATTTCACTTCCCCTCCTGGTCATTTATTCAGGAAAATCGTTTGGAATCCATCCCACATGCAGCACCTGTTGAGACGTCTCAAAAGTCCCATATGCAGCAACTGCCCAGTTATGTTCTTCCACCCACTCCCCCTCCACTCCACTCCTCCCCCACTCCGATCCTCACCCCGAGGGGAGATTCCTTTCTGGGCTCCAGACTGCTGCCGGTTGATCCTCAAATGTAGCCATGACGGCAGGAGCATTCACTCATGACTCATCCCGTGCACAGTCCACTCACTCCTCCATTCCACCCCCACTTTCCCTCCTGCAGGGGACATTTCCCCCTGAATCCCAGCCTCCTGTTACTTTGAGGGGAAATCCCTTTTCATCCCTCCCCTCTCCACTCCACCCCCACTCTCATCCATGCAGAGGAGGTTTCCCCCTGGATTCCAGCCTCCTGCCAGTTCATCCCCACATGCAGCGAGTATTCAGTCATGGTCTTCCACTCAACCTCCCCCCTCTCCCCTCTCCACTCCACCCCCACTCTCATCCATGCAGGGGAGTTTCCCCCCTGGATCGCATCCTCGTGCCGGTTCATCCCCACATGCAGCGAGTATTCAGTCATGGTCTTCCACTCAACCCCCCCCCCCCCCCCCCCCCCCCCCCCCTCTCCCCTCTCCACTCCACCCCCACTCTCACCCATGCAGAGGATGGATCGCAGCCTCGTGCCGTTTCATCCCCACATGCAGCGACTACACAGTCATGATTGCCCTCTCATTTCCCCATGTCACCACCATTTTTCCTGCAGGGGAGATTTCCCCCTGGATCCCGGCCTCGTGCCGGTTCATCCCCACATGCAGCGAGTATTCAGTCATGGCGCTGCGCAAGTACGGCCTTCTGAGAGGCGGGATTCTGACTGCATGGAGATTGTTACGCTGTAACCCTCTAGGTGAGATTTCCCCCTGGATCCCAGCTTCTTGCCGGTTCATCCCCACATGCAGCGAATATTCAGTCATGGCCCTGCGCAAGTACGGCCTTCTGAGAGGCGGGATTCTGACTGTATGGAGATTGTTACGCTGTAACCCTTTCGGTGAGGAATCTGTACATTTCTTTGTGGTTGCTCATGGTTATTGTGGATTGCTGCCTAACATCACGTTCACTGTAGGTGTTTGTTACGCTACGATTTTGGTTCTTTTCTTTTCTGTTCTTTTCTTTCTTTTCTTTCTTTCCTCCTTTTTATTTGCATTATATCGGGCTGTTTGCAGGTCCATCTGGTTATGATCCTCCGCGTTGGTTTGGGGAGCCTCCCCCGCCTTCTGTATAGCTTAGCCTATTCAAGCCATTCCCCACAGCTGTATACTACAATAAACTATGTGCTATTGATAATGTCTTGTCCTTGTTTGCATGTTCTGTGGTTAGCAAGCGATTCTTCTTCCACATAGTGTCAACTCAAGTACATGTTCCCTACTCTTGCTGATGTGACTGTAACGGGGTAAAGCTTATTGGATGTAGACGCTTCGTGCAGTTTCCACCAGTCAGCAGCACCGACAATCACTGTAGCAACGTACGGTTCCTTGCAACAATTTGAGACTGGTCAGCTGCAGCTGTTGCACCAAACAGTACAGCTGGCAGCTGAAACGGACAATTGTTATGACCGTTTCAACAGCACATCTGCGGTTACTGCTCACGAGAACACCACCAGACAAATTCCAAGCACTGCCATACCCAGAGGCACCCCTGGTCCCTCTTGCGCCCTGTCTGATGAGTGATGATGCAAGCCAAGCCTTTCGTTCCGTCCGTCCGAGCCTGAAGCCACGCCTTCCCAACTGAGGAGCCTTTGTCAGAGGTTCAGCGTCGCAACTATTGCAGTTCGTTTCTTTTTCGCCAAACCGTTCAGAGGCTTGGTGTCAGGGAGCCAGTCAACACCTCCCACTGCCATGCGTTTGCCCCATTGTTTTCTCGAACCTCTCGTCTCGAGCCAAGTTCGAGGTAGTCAGGGCCTGTGAGCCGAGATTCGATAGTTTGCTTTGGAACCAATGAATGTGGCTCGGTGGAGGTTGTCAGGATTATAATTTCCAAGTATCTGCGCAACCCTCGCCGCAGGTCCTCCAGTGCGGTTGTCTAAGAACATAGAATTTGGTGGACCCTTCAGCTGGAGCAGCAGCAGTAAAAGCTAATTCTCGGTCATGCCTATGCTCATACGATACTGAATTCAGCTGTACTGCCATAGCCTCCCGGCGCAGTTCGCGCGATCGAACGCGTTGTTCTGACAAATACGCCTCTCTTTTTAAACGTGCTCGAGTGATAACCCCCTCGTTAGGATCGTTCGCCACCATGAACCGAGAAACTGGCTCCAATCTTGCAGAAATGCATGACAATTACGCTCAACCGCGTCGAATGGCACGCGGAGAGACCAAAAGCAAGGAAATTCCGCAAGGGAGGAAACGGCATTCGCGGAACCAAGGTCTGCGCGGAGCAGCGCTGAGCATGTTCGCTTGCGCGGCTCCTCCGCCGACAACTGGCTTCACAAGCCGCGGAGGAAGTGATTACAGCGGAAGTAACGACGAGGCAGACCACGCGCGCCGGATCCAGGGTTCGTACGCAGCCGGAGATGAAACGGGAGAACGTCGAGTTCCGCAACCCTTCTTTCATCAGATGCCGCACGGAACCCTGCGAACTGGTTTCAAATTCAATCCGAAGCATTGGACCCGCAGTCTATCGCCTCCTTTCCTTCGCCCGTCGTCTCCTCCAAAGACTTTTCGAGATCTTCGGATCATCTCGACGAAGAATAACATGAATGCGGAACCGTCCCAACGGTCAGAACAAACCCACGGCGAATCACATCGGAGAAAGGCGCACAGGGATCGGAGAACGATCATGGTTCCTCCCTGCATAACCGCTCCGCCTGTGCTCTCCCGGCCGAGCTCTGCTGCTGCTGAAGATGAAGTGAATTCAAGAACTCCCATAGGTCCAGAATCTTCCACCTTTTCACTTCCCGGGGAGATGGACTTGAATGTCAGGCATTCGAGTGCTACACCTCTTGAGGCACCTGGAACATTGTCTCATCTTGCGCCGGTGTCCCTCTGCTCCCCACAGTCCACCCTCGCATCGTCGTTCTCGCCAAAACCGTTGCCTGGGGTTACCTCTCCTTGTTCCCAATCTGGCTTTGCTCCATCCGTCAGCTCTTCAGGCCAGTGTGACTCTTACGTCACCCCTAATACAGGCACATTCCTCGGCCCATGTTCTCCTCATGCCGTTGCAGTTTCCCTTCCCAAGGTTAAAGTGGTTAGCCCAATATCCTGGTCTGATCAAGTGGACAGAACATTGGAGCAACTGCAGGTTACTCAGCTGGGGACTGAAGAGGGTACGATGGCGGAGGGTGAAGGTGCTCGTTCCATTGGCAACGCTGAGCATGAGGAGAAACTTGACGAGCGGGATTGCTGCGATTTAAATTGTGAAAACAAAGATAGTGTGGAGAAGAACGGGGTGAGTGAGGAGGAGAGTCTAAGGATAAAGCTTGCACATATTGAGGAGAAACTGGCAAGGTTGAGGCGCAAGAGGATGGAGTATGTTGAGAGGCTCCAGCATGTGCAATTGAAGAAAGAGAAACTGGCAGGGCCCATTCAGCAGTGGCTGAGGCCACCTGCGCGCTTGAGCATATCATGAAAACCATGGTAATAATGTTGTCTCACTAGTATTTTGTATCACTAATTTTGATAATGTTCGAGATGGGGTCTACACGGAAACCCCAAGCATTCAGCAGAATCGCTAATTTGATTGGCTGGCCGATCATCGGCACTGCCCCCGTTTTCAGCTCCGCATCCAGCCAGTCGTCGTCCACCGACTGATACAGACATATTGTGCCTTGAAGTTACCCTTCAGGGCCATTGATTGGAGGATTGGATTTCGTAACGTCGCACATCAGTCCCGCACACCGAACTCGCCAATCCCAATGTTGCCCTAGTAGCTCACACCAAACCGTCGCCCTTGTCGCTCACACAATACTTCGGGGGTTTTTATACAGGCCGTCACAAAACATTTCGAAGTTATCACGAGCAGTCACGTGTTCCGCCAAATCTATCACGGACAGTCACAAAATCCGCCAAATCTATCATGGACCATCACACGGGTATCACCCGCCGTCACTCAAGGGCACTAATTTCTATCACGGGTAGTCACACTCGAAACTTTGCTATCACAGATGAACCCTCTCATCATTTCCTTGACTCGCCCTGAAACACTGTACAGATTTAGGGACTATATTTCGGATTGCTGGCTTTTGTCCTGTATACGCGACCATTTTGGGTGCAAAGATACCTGGTTACGTTCGAATCAACGTAACACACTTTTATTTTAAAAAGTTTATGAAAGAATTCGAACGCATATATATATTGTTAGAGTTCACAATTCATTGAATCTGCCTAAATGTTTATCAAATGATAGAAAATACTATAATCAATCGTGAAATCACAAAATGACATGTGATTAAACATTCAGGAAGATTCTTTAAATGGTGTTTTCTAGCAATATCTATATGCGTTTGTTTGATATTGTGTGTTACATCGATTCGAACGTAACCAGGTATCTTTGCACCCAAAATGGTCGCGTATACAGGACAAAAGCCAGCAATCCGAAATATAGTCCCTAAATCTATACAGTGTTTCAGGGCGGGTCAACGAAATGATGAGAGGGTTCATCTGTGATAGCAAAGTTTCGAGTGTGACTACCCGTGATAGAAATTAGTGCCTTTGAGTGACGGCGGGTGATACCCGTGTGATGGTTCGTGATAGATTTGGCTGATTTTGTGACTGTCCGTGATAGATTTGGCGGAACATGTAACTGCTCGTGATAACTCCGAAATGTTTTGTGATGGCCCGTATAAAAACCCATACTTCGGCACCAGCCACAGGTTAGTTAGGATGCCCCCCAATGAGGTGAATTGCGGTATAATACGGTGAGTTGTGTAAAATGCTAGGTTCTGCACGTTAATAAACTTTGTGGCACACTTTCGCCATTCCACCCACAGTAACTGCTGTTTTGTTCCGGCTTTCAAAAGTTGCCTTGCCTCTTCATCCTGACTTCATTGCTGTTATAATTCTTGTGACTGCTGCTTGTGACCCTGCTGCCTCCTGCTCTTGTTTGTGATGCCCCCTCGTCTCTTCTCAGTGCCGCCGTTCCTCTTGTCGAGAACGTGCTGTCTGCTAACCGACCTTTGGCGTTCTGAAATTAGGGCAACGCCGGTGCCCTTTCGTATGCCGGCACAAGGTTTTTGCGGGATGAAACAGCCTGGGAATAGGCGCAATTGAGTTCATGCTGGGGAAGTCCTTATAGGCTGGAGTGGCGTAGGCTGGATAAGTGGTCCCAATTGATCTCATGTCGTCAAGGCGAGCCTAGCTTCTCAAGAGGTAACCGTTCCATTTGGATCCTTGATTCTACATCTTTTTTTTCTAATATTAATTTAACTTATTTTTCCACGCTACCTTCTGACTTCAGGAAACTATCGTTTATTTGTACCTTAACTTCAGCCCAGCCCTGACCTTTAGGGCCGCAAATAGTCATGTCAGAAACGGCAGCTTACCGGCTAGTAGTTCCTAACCACGATGGGGAGCATCCTATAGTCCCACCGGAGTTTATCTGCCCGCTATCGCACCAGCTCTTATTGGATCCTGTTATCATTGGGTCAGGTCAGACCTTCGAACGCGGCGCCATTGAGAAATGGTTTCAACAGGGTAAGCGAGTCTGCCCTATAACGGGGAAACACCAAGAGCACATGCGTCTCTTCCCCAACCAGGCGCTGCGTCAGCTGACTTCTGATTGGTGCGACGCAAACGGGTTACACCTCGCTCCCGGTCTAACTGTCACCCAGATCGATCCGTCAAGCCCGACCGGTAAAACTGCCGGCAGCGGTGCAGAACCTGACGGCCACAATGGCGTTCTTCCGTCAACGTCAGCCGAGCACATGGACGAGGTTATCCGTTTCCGTCAGGAACTGCAGCGAGCCCAAGCGTCTACGTCAAAACTTGACGGAGGAAACGGCGCGCCTATTACTAACGGGCTCACTCCCTCCGGAGGCGCCATCGGCGGCCGCGGATACGCGGAACCTCCGCGGACGCCGCCGGGACTTGCGGGTGGCTTACGAGGCAGCGGCGCGAATGCGCTACTGAGCGGTACCACACGGACGGTCAGGATCTCCCGATCGCCGTCGCTGCAGCCCAAAGCGGGCGCAATGGGGGCGTTTCTTCGCGCGCTGAAAGAAACGGAGGGGGCGGAAGGCGAGGGGAAGGGGGGAAGCGGAGAAGGGGGAGGCGGCGGAAAGGGGTTTGG